AACTAATGTTATCCGTTTCAGGCAAAGTAACTAATAATCTAACTTAATAAAGATGTAGCTTGGCAGCCCTTATTTCAGAGCTATACGATTAATTTACTTACAATTTTCTTTTGGTATCTTGAGTTGCAGTAATTATAGAGGTAAAATAAATCCAATCATTTATTTGTAGACGCGTATGGCGTCTACAAATGGATGTCTGGACCCCCAGAAAAAGTACGAATTGTTAACTTGTGCTCTACACTGTAATCTACTTGTTAATGCAGTCATCTTCTCATGTATACGTTGTCGCTTAGCGGAAACACGACATCGGTGCGTTTAAAATCTTTTTCATACAGTCTATTTCGAAAGTATTTTTTACATCATAAGGGGGAGCCACCAGACCATAGGGTCCGCATATACGTTTTGTATGAAACCAAGTAACACACCGGACGAAAAGTTCATTGCGTTTTGGAACCAATGAGGGTCTATTAAAGGGAAACTGAAGTTGCACTGTATTTGAGTAAAACACCTAAATCGTCTTCATTTGTCCTCCTCAAATATCGAGGTTATTAATTCGGTTCAGTGAGGCTACAGGAAATATTTTTCAAAGTACCGCTAAAGCCCCTCCTTCCCGGAGCGCTACGTAATAAAATGAGTTTTCGACATCTTGGTTCTCGCGCATCTTCAGCGCCTTTCATAGCTGTGCACGCACACTCTTTCTACTTAAAAAAATAAATGGAAAAAATAAAGATGTCATAACTGGTGTCAGTGCGAGGGAATATACCTGGCAAGCCTGCAGTTTCACGCGCTGCCCATACGAGCGACACGTGCTTGACGGCCGGAAGATCCTTTTATGATGTAACGACTGGCCGGATATTTTTCGTGTTTTCTCACGTTTGGTTACATGTTCGGGAAAAAAAAAACGAGCGTGATATTCAGATTTACGGGATAAAAATACTCTAGAGTTTACCTATCTCGTTTTCTTCAAGAACCTCTGCAGCTTCCCTTTAAGTAGAGAGCATTTCAGCTGTCTGCGTAAAAGGGAAGCGTGTTTTCGTACGTCATTTCGGTATGAATGGTCACACGTGCTAAACGAAATAGTCCGAATAGACATGCACAGGGAAGTAGACAGGACGAAATACACTCTCAAATGAAAGTTTATTGAAAAAAAAAAACACACATTATTAATACCACCTTTCTGGCTATTCACTTAGAAAATAAGACTGTATCGGTCAGGTGCACTGACAGGGCACTAACGCGCTTCCTTTCCCCTTGATTTCTGGTACAGAATGCGTGGTAAAATTCTCAGGCAGTTTTATCGGCGTATCTCCCTATAATTGTTGCTTATGCTCCTGTATGTTATCTCGCTACCATGCGTGACCATGCATGATTTCTTGCTTGCTTGTTGTCTTGTTATCAGCAGCCCGTGGAATGTTTTGGCGGAGTGCCGAAAATGACCCGCAACGATATAGAGCACGGTTGACGGTGTGAAACCGCGAAGTGTCCCACTGACAGGTATCTCTGTAAAAAAAACGATGGAGGCTTTTTCGTGCTAATAGTTTGGCTCTCTGTGTACATTACGATTTCACAGACAAGGCTATTTATTACTTTATGCTACAAATTTCATTTGGAAAAGCCTAGAAGCCATCAGCTGATTCAACTTAAAGGGACCATGAAATGCCCTTTTTACTTTTGTCAGACAACTTTTACATTAAACTATCAACGTTCACTGAATGCCGAACATGCATCCATTTTCGTCTCGGTTTATTAACTTCTACACAAAAGAATTAATAAAATATTGACTTTTCTTTCTTTCCAACTGACCGCAAAACATGTTGCGGCGTAATCTTGACGGTCGTGACGTGTCCTGGCACAGGAACCGGAAGTTCTCTCGGCAGTAGGAGAATGGGAGCCTTAGCGGCGGCGAGTTGGGGGTGCGCTGGTAAGTTTTACTGCGCTGATGGCGCTGATGTCACGGACGTATTTTCTGAGTCGGCGCCTCTCATCGCCGCGAAAGCCATGGACACATCGCGGCTGAGCGAAATTCAATGAGATATGTTGCGCTACAGCGAAAGCATGGGACTAGTCCCATACGCCGGTATGCCTGTTTGGAAGTGCGGCGAGTCTTCCGGCGAAGACTCCAGAAGTCAACCCAACTGTCATTGTTGGTAAAAGGCGGCCCGTGTCAGCCGTTTGCAAAGCGACATAGATGGAAACAAATTTACGTGGCGTTTTTCTCGGCCTCGGAGATGCACGAGCGAGCCAATTAAAAAAAAAAAAGAATATAAGTTTGAACTACGACAGTGTCAGCAAGAGCCACGTAAATACCTGTTCACACTCGGAGCGGACGCGTCCGTTTGAAGGAAGTGCTTTATTCGCGCTGTTGGTAAGCACTTCGGGACCGATCTTTTACGATTGCAACTCGATACTGACGTGACAATCGGCAAAGGAAGGTTCGACCGGCATTTTGCACGTAGCTCCCACGAACTGTTATAGCTCCACAGTGACGTGCGGTCGTGTCAGAATAAAAATGGCATACTAATAACAAAGTGTACATACCGTGTTACGAAGGTAATCTATACGGCGTTTATTTGAGCTCTATATCACACAAAACACGAAGATAGAATCGACAACAGTCTCTTTTCGACGACAGTGTTCGTCAACACTGCCTCGGCAAACAAGGAGATGACAAGGGGAAGAGATTGACCTCATCTCTTAGTCTAAAATTGAGGTCAGCGAACAAACTATAATACGGGAAGGGTTCACAAGGGTCGCGCGGGCACATTTCATTCAGCATGCCAGCCGGTCGTGGGCAGACGGTCTTGGCCAAGTACCGTTGATGCAACGCTGCGCCAAGTCGGTGTGTCTGCTAGGCGTATATTCTGATAGCTCGCTTGGTGGGGGTCCGTGGATTCGTGGCCGTTGTAGCTTTTCTCGGGTGTTTCTGGATCCAGCGTTCTTGTTCGTCGTGGTCTGTTTCAAGTACTTTTTTCTTGCTGCTTGAAGTCGGGACGCGTGAGAAGAACACGTAGAAAAATAAACGTTCGTTGGTCGTCGCAACCAAATAGCTGAGCGACGCTGTCGGCCCTACTGCGCAAGCGCAGTAGCTGCTTCGTTTACCACACGATAGATGGCGCTTGGCTCGCAGCATTATCAAATTTGGCAATTTTCGTCACATCTCTAATTATGCTACGAAATGTGGATCTGAATATTATTTAACAAAACTTTTAGGAGACATTCGCCGGCTATTTATTGTTTATGATCGCGGTGCTGATGAGGAAGGCTTTTACACAATAGGCGACGTGGATTTGGTTGACGTGCTGCGGTTCCGCGGATGCTCCGCAGTGAAAAGGCAGAGAGCTTTCGAAGGGAAGAAGGTGCAAAAGAGTCCAGTTTTTTTTACAAGTTCTATAGCGAAGAATTTTTTTGGCTCCCTATTTTTGTGTTTCTTTTCACACCTTTTACTACGATCGGTGGATGAAAATCGATTTCAGAATCGTTTTATGGTCCCTTTAATGTTGACTCGTAGATTATCCCGCCAAGGCGAACATGCACAGGGAACTGGCTGTCTTTTATTCACAACAATTAATCAAGTTATGTAATAAACAATTTATAATACTATAAACCCAATTATATTTGCCAAAAATGTGGTTCGAAATCGAGCATTTCAAAATTGTTTTTTTGGCAAAACACGAAGATGTGCTGCGGACGAGCTGATTAGTCAATTGTTACACAAGCCTGAAATATATTCAATGGTTATATGTTATAAGTTATAACTTATATCCAACTGTTGTGAATCTCGAAGAGCTCTACATCGAACAATAAGTACTGTTCCTTCAATATGGTGTTGCTGTTTTCAGTAGAACTCCTACTTTTGTTTCTTTTCAATACCGCATGTTGTTTGTAGTGTGAATGTGTGTGCATGCGTGGGCGTGGTTGCGTGCGCGTGCGTGTATGTGCGCGCGTGTGTGTGTATGTCCATGTGTGTGTGGTGTGTGTGTTGTGTGTTTGTCTGTGTAAAGTAGATTACATGTATTTTTTGATAGACGTTGACTGACCCTTTCCCGAACCAACGTATAGACCATTCCATTTAGTGCTCTCTGGGCGGCACCATTTTGTTCAACCGCAGCGCCCTCTCCACACATCCGGGAAGTTCAGCGGGTTCGGTGGGGTAAAATGAGAGAGAGGGCACGCGCCCGACTCCGCTAGCAGACGACAAACCGGGAGGTTGCCGTTCTCCATCTTTGGGCTGTATCGGCGGGCAGTACGGAACATCGAACTCTCGCTCGTGGCTGCCGTTGTGAAGTGGTTTTCGTTCTTAGAATAGTTCTGGCTACTCCAAAATCAGCCTATAGCTCTCTTTTGTTCTATTTCGCTAAATGATCAACTAGCATATCCTTTTTTCGTTACTTAAATAGCAGTTGAGTCAACCGGCAGTACTACCCTCAACTACTGCGTGTATTGCGGCAGGAGAGCACGTTTTATTTATTATTTCAGACTTCCACTCATGGTCGCTAAAGGCCTACACCAGTACGAACTTTGTATAGTAAAAAAGGTACAGCAACCGGATTTACTTTTCGCCAAAGAGACCGGCCAACCTGACACAGTTTTCCCTATTTGTTTTTTATTTGCACACAAATAACAGCGCAATTGGACCCCGTGAGTCGTTTTATCTAGCATAGTATTAAACGACAACTGGCATACCAAAATCGCTTGAAAGTTCCAAAATGACGCGATTTTAAGCAGAGTTTGCACGCCAGCCGGACGCTAGCTACAGCCCACTCGGCGGAGCAGACGACATACGGGGTGAGAGGGGGAGTGCATTTTTTTCTCTTTTACCCTCTCTGCTATGACCCTAATGGAACGGTCCATAGATCTTGACAGTAAAGTTTGGGGGTAAAATTGAAATTTTTATCAAGTACATTTTTAACTGTCTGACTTTTACAAATCTTCATAAAGAAAAAAAAAAGTTTTGTAGGCAAAGGTGAAAAGCCATATTTGAACTACTTTAAGGGCTTTTGTTATGGCTTCAGGACGTTTTCGCTAAATTTGTTACGGAAGTTTCCAGGAGGATCGTAGTTGCACACCACGTAGATGTAACCTGTATACGAACGCGCCCAGCCACAACCCAACCTTCGCGTTGCTTTCCACACCACCTGGGTGAAATGCCCTGTTTTAAGGCGAAACCCCGGGTTGCTGTAATTGTAGTATTTGATCTCCTTATACCAAGCGTCGACCACATTCTTCGCTGAAAAAGAAAAAAAAAAGAAAAGAAATAAGATGTTCGGTGGTTATGGCAGTACGTGAAGTAAGCCCGCTTTTAGAAGTACAATTCAATCTGCGTTGTTATCGCGTGTAACGGTCTGCCGACAACTCATAACTGCAATCTGCATTATCTCTGCCCCCTAGTAGTCTTTTTATTGTGGTGCACTGCTCGCAAAATGTTGACGATTCATTTTTGTCAAGCCGTTCGAAGGAGCGACCAACTTTTCACCACGGTTCAATATCCTTCTACTTGACAATTTTGACTTCTCCGCAATATTCTGGTCCCTGGCAACGTCGGAACCACGGTGGAAGAATAGAAAAAATCTGAACAAGGCCGCCCAAGGCTGCAAAATGTTTCCTCGAACATCACAGATTTCCCGGCAGGGGCACTGTCAGTTTAGGGGCCTCTTCGTAGCCATGGTCGGACGCCTCGCAGCCTTGTAAGCGTATGCTTCAATAGAAACGGTTCCTGAATTGGCTCTCATTGGTTTCCTACCGCCCCATGAGTTGAGCATATACAGTTACTCTAATTACGGCAGCCGTGTCATGCCATCGAACGACGTTTGCCAGAAATGCGAGCTAACTTTCGCTACCCAGGCTTCATGACGAGGTGGCGCCGTTAAGATACCCCTCGATTTTGTTTCCGCCGTAGTAGAAACAAATAATATAAAGGAACCTCGTGAACACGTGTCTCGAATTTGAATTATCCCAAATTGTCTTCGTTCCTACTAGTCAAGCACTTGAGATACGTTCTCATGTTGCGTTAGCAGCACCATTAAGTCTTTTCGTGATCTTTACCGCCGAATAGGGTGATATAAAAAGACGAATACTTAGGATACAAACCACCATGTGTGTTTGACTATGGCTCGAAACAAACGGGGGATTCTCTGTTCCTTGAATTCAGGACTTGAATTATTGCATTAATCAAACCCGATATAAAAATATTAACGCAGCTACAAACGTGCTAAAACCAAATCTAAACGGGCAAAGCCCCAAAATCGCAGCGAGTACGTCAGTACATTATTTCTGAGGTGACTGCTGATGTGAAAAGATATATGCATTATTAGTGGGTATAATGTACTTAACGTAAAATACCAAGGAAGCGCCCGTATACCCGTACAAGCGCCCACTATTAACATTTTCGAAATTCGAAAATTTGGGCAAGCGCACATCAAGCGCCCATATTCTCGGAAGCGCCGGCGTTCACGGCAGCCGCCGCGGCAGGCACCCTGCCGAAGGTTGCCGTGGTGGACCCGGCCCGGTGACCAATTCCCGTAGAATTGGGTCACCAAGGTCACTTCGGGCACTTTGTCTTCACGTTACTGCAGCATTGCGTGGTTCGCACAATCCGGAGGTAGCAACGACAGGACCAATAGGAGTGCAGATAACAGCCAGTTCGTCCCAGAATTTTGTAAAATACATATTGATGAATGCTTCCTGTTTCCCGAGTGCCGTTGGTCAGCCAGTTGGCAAGCAACCAGCACAGGATGCACTCCTACACAGTCTCCAAAAATATCGAAGTCGTCGACTGGCATCGGGTGTCGGGAGGCAATGTCAGCCGCACCTCTCGTCATTTCAAGATCGACAGGAAGCGAATCCGAGAGTGGGACTCTAAATACGAAACCCTGAAGTAAGTTAACTACGGCAAGCAGAAGATTAACAGAAAATTTACAAATAGGGCGCCCGTCTTCAGTGAGGAGGTGGATAACGCACTGTTTGAATACTTTCAAAGGGAGCGAGATGCCGGCCGGGCCGTCAGCAACCGGCTCCTGGCAGACGAAGCACTAAGGATAGCTGAGAGTCTAAATCCTGGCAACTTAAAGCGTCAACACGGTATATCAAGCGATGGAAGCAGCGATTTGCGGTGACTATGCGTACGTCGACCAACGACAGCCAGAAGGCCCCTGCTGACTGCGGCGAAGCTGCCACTGTATTGCGCTCTACAATTGTTACTTTGCGAGCACGGCAAGACTACACGCCATTCAACATCTGCGATATGGACCAGACCATGGTCAGAATGGACAACCCAGCGACCCGCACCAATAATGTTGCTGGTGAAAACAACATCGGAATCGCCAACACCGGCTGCGCCCGTCGAGGCTTCACCGTCGCACTGGCAGCTCGCGCGTCGGGGGCGAAACTTCTGGCATTTGTCGTACTCAAGGAACCCACAAGGAGGATCTCTGCCCGTGCGTTCATGGCGCTCCGCACACCAAGTAAGTTGGGCGCACTTCCTAACAAGTTCTGCTTCGTTTCGTTAACTGTGACGGGGTTCCTTCGTAAGACGAAAGCATGGCAAGAGCAACGAGTTTGTAGAGTTTGACGCCAATGATATTCGAGATTCGCGACCAACGTAACCGCGTTCTGCTTTGCTTTGTTATGACTAAGACGCGGTTAACGCACTTCCCGACAAAAGATGAGACGAAAGTTTGTAAACGCCGAATCGCGACCCCAATCGCAGACGCAGAACTGCGGCACCATAGCAGAACCGTCAGAACTGCAATGACGAAATGACCCTCCAACCTTCAGAAACGCAAAAGCCCGCCTGTGAAGCACAGGCGGGCTGCCAGAGTAACTGAGGGTAGCTGCACTAGCGCTGTGACGTAACGCGTGAGGCGTGGGCCCGACAGACGAATATGCCCTCGGCGCCCTAAGCAGGCAGGTCGTGTTCGATGTGCTCGATTGGATTTGAATTCTCCGGCTTACCGCGACTTAAAACTGTTATCATTGGTTTGATTAGTAACTTCTGGAACACGACCAACCGAAGTAGTAGAAGTAGGCAGTAGTAGCTGCACGGCTGCACATTGTTTAGCCCCGTCAGTTGCGTAACTGTAATCGTAACTGTATTTTTGTTCTGTTTCCGTTTTTGCAGCGAACGTTCGCTGGCCGTCGTCCAAAAAAAGTTGGATGACAACCGACTTATGTCTGGAATGGTTCAGCCGTGTTTGAGGTCCGGACATCGACGACGTTCGCCGCCTGCTAGTGATCGACCAACCGCCGATACACAAGACGAAGGCGGTCATGGACACTGCAGAAGCCTCCGCTACAGACATCGTGCGCATTCTATAGGAGGCTGCACTAGAATTTTACAGCGTGCGGACGTGTATTGGAACAAGTCGTTTATGGACTCGCTTCGTACGTCATGGGCGGAGTTTATGCGGAACGGAGACAAGACACCAAAGGGCAACCTCCGGAAGCCTTCGAGTCAGGACGTCCTCAACTTCGTGTCAAAGGCTTAGGCAGCCGTGCCCGAAGACATGATCGCCCGATCTTTCAAGGGGTGAAGCATCAGTGGCGCGCTGGGCGGTAGCGAGGATGGCTACCTGCACAACGGACTTGCGGGCATCGAAGCACCAGCAGCCTGCTCCAATCCCGAAGGTGTCAGCGAGGAGTGCGTACACCTTGTCTTTTGGAGTGATTCGAAAGAGTCATTTGACGGATTTAGTGATAATGAGTAAATAATGACGTCTACCAATCATCTGTACAGCGGAAACAAAAGAGCCAGGCTGGCTGCTTTCTCTGTTTCCACGGCTCTATGAGCCTCTTCATCGGCCGCCATCTTGATTTTGGCGCATGCACCTAATAAGCGCCCATAGTTGGTTTTACGCGTATTTCGATAAAATGGGAGTGGGCGCTTCTTCGGTATTTTATGGTACACACTTACAATATTGTAGAAATAGTGAATTTCTGTTCATTTAAATATGGTATAGTGTTAAATTTATTAAAACGAAAATTAACTTTGTTTGCCATACATGTGGCTGTACGTCGTTCCTGCAATGGAAGCCAGTTTAGTCGATTGTGTGTTAGAGGATATAGAAGAACATATTCTGTATTCGCGAATCCAGCAACCATGAGGGTCACCACTATTTGGCAAACTTGGAAGTCGAGTACAGGTTGTGCCGTGTCATGGTGCCAGCTCAACGCACAACGCTCGGGTTCCAACAGACAGGTATTGGCCCCAAAACGGCTTGCCTTGATTGTTATCAACTAGGTTCCAAATCTGAGGCGGTGTCTTGGCGTAAGCGAGATACCAGAGGTCTGTCCTTTGTCGGGGAAGCGATGGAATAAGTACCTACTCTTCTACTGCGGTGATGAACGCTGATAAACGCAGAATACCTGGATCACGGGGTTGTGTTCCAAGCGACCGTGGCAACGCGCTGATACGACAGTAATAACAGAGTCACTGGGACAACTGTTTGCCGTACACAACGTGGGGAGCAATGTAACGTGTACCTACTTCCTTAGGTCATTATAAGTCATCGGTGCGTTTTTCCGTTTGCCCAAACGTAAGATTTTCCCCTCGTTATAAAGAATTTCATAAATGACCACCGTGACGCATTCAATATAGGCATTTAACCGTAAAGACGTTGTCAGACTCCTAATCCACCATACAAGACACCATCACAGAACCTTTCTTGGAAACTTTCTTGCACTTTCTATGCGGTACGATGAGCACTCAGGTATGAACTGCGCATGCGCTGCCACAGAAGATTTGCACATTCGCAGTGCGTACCGGAGGGCCCATCGTGCCATATCCGACGTTCAAAAACGGTTCCCTAGAGCTCTCTACTGCCTCAGACGCGTTTCTTCATGTAGGACGTTCTCGTCAAATGGGACATACAAATACTATCTGCAGGCATGTTCAAAGCATAGAGATGTATGAAGCAAACGTGATTCACACATGCTTGAGATGTGCCCGCAGATAATTACGCCATCACGTCTGCATACCGTGTATTTGTAAGGTGTACGATCTGCGTGACTGCGGTTTAAGAGGGCGCCAACGAAACATATCAGCGTTAGGTGTGCTGTGGCGTTTCAAGGGAGAAACACAGTGTATTACCAGAGTTTTTTTTTTTCATAGCACTCTGCAATAACAAGTTTCGTTGTGAGCAACGTGGAAACTATGAAGCTGAAGCTTAGCGTCATACTAAAAAAAAGACAATGCAAGGCGAAGTTTAAATGTAACGGTCACCAACCTTTTGGTTGGTAGCCATGTGGAACTCGTCCAATCATGTAGATATTTTCACCGTACGGATTGCCATCTCGATGTCGCATTTGATCTATCCCTGCAATGTATTCTGCCCACCCTTGCGCCCACAAGTTAATCTGTGAACGAGATAAAAAAAAAGGAGCAAACGATAATGATACATTTTCTGTAAAAGCGTCTCTATAAAGTGTGCTAGCTTTAATAACCGCAGACACGGTTTAAATAGCTATCTCTCTTCGGTATGAGCTAACTTTCAGGCATACTTGATTTATTACTTGAAACTCAGTGAGCTGTTACGGAGAAAACGCAGTGTTTTGAACTTCAGAATTGAAACAACGAACTACTGACATGAGAAAATGAACCTTCTATCTCAAGCTTTCCTTGCCTTCTCCCGTCTCAAATATAAAGAAAAATATACAAGAAAATGTAACGATATACCTTACTTCTGTTCCGAAATAGCGGCTGTAATAGTTTACGTTTTGTTTCAGTGAACAAACAAACATCTCAAAGCGATTTAGGCGTGCTACACAACTCACCATATTATTTTCAAAACTGCACGCTCGAGCCCGAATACATGCCATGATGACAGCCGAGCTATTTTCTGACTTCGAACTTTGCACAAATAAAACAATACCTACAAAGGAGTGTTTGCTATTTTAAGACATGAAGCTTGCTAAAAGGTTGTTGGGGCTAGCTGGGTAATAAACATTTCAGGGGTAAAACAGCGCAATGCTACAGCGCTCTGTATTTTACTGCCTCGTCTTTACGTCGTCCATGTCCTGTCACGCTATTTTACCCTCAAATGAGCTTTAAAACGTAATGCGCGTTGAAAAAAAAACAAAAAAAACCCCACATAGTGCCATTCTTAAACATATTGACCTTTGATCTGAAAGCAGCAATAGCAGAAATTGTTGTGACAGTTCTTTTAATTTGTGGCATATGAAGTTTAACTTAAAGAGCCACTATCAACCACAATACTCATGAGTATAATGTTGCAAGCTACTGAAAATTATCCCAAGGTATATCGCCCTATATATTTGAGAGCTAAGTGCTCAAATATTTGCTTCGGCAGGCCAGGTCTACTGCTCAAATATTCGCTTCTCAAATATTCGCTTCGGGAGGCCAAGTGTACTGCTCAAAATTTGAGAGCCAAGTGCCTTCCAAAGCGAAATTACGGAAACATTCCTGGACAAACCTAACGCGAGGCGAAGACCAGATTTCTTCCAACCAAATGGCTCGCAAATTCTTACCTGCGTACACTTCTCAGTACTGAATCCATGGTCGCAATCACGACGGATGCAAGATTCTCAGAGTCGCGGAGAAACGTTTACGGAAACCGGCACATTTACTAAGCATTAAAACGCTCATACAAACATATCAAGCCAGTTCGAAAAAAATAGTTGACGTGAGACGCTAGGCTAACGCCAGTCCCGCTACGAAAACCAGCACTCGCACAGCGGTTCCAAAAGCGTGTACAATGTGGCACAAAAGAAAATTACACTTTTTTGTACCGCAACAACAAACTACGCATCGCCGAACGCTCATTCTCCGCTCAAAGGTAGCGCTAGAGGTCACAACCAGATGCCAAAGTTTCAGCCCGATCCAATACCTTATTCAAAAGTTATAAGTGATTTTCTGAAAAGTTCAATGGGAGAATGGCTGCCGACGGAGGTTTCAAAGGGTCTACTACGGTTGATCGAATGCCATTTCGTCGAAGCACGTTTTAGAAAACGGGCACGTTTTATCGAAGCACGGTTTAGAGAAAGCAGAGCCTCAGTTTAGAGAAATGCCGTTTATCGAAAAGGGACCTTAATTAACAGAAGGCTCTTCTACTTCGCCGGTGTATCACTGGTGCAGGTCCTAAGCCCCCTGCTGCGCTCCCGACGCTTCGCGGCGGCAGTTTGCAGCGGCTTATTACAAAAATGTCAATTCACCTGACTTATCCCTACACGCCGCTTCGCGGCGGACGAATTCGCTAAAACAGGCTCATCGCCATTCTCTCTAAACTTTGTCTCTCTATGAGGAATTCGATGAACTGATGTCGGTAAAACGGCGTTCGCTAAAATGAGCTTCTCTAAACCGCATGCCTCCGGTTTTCGAATACATGGGGCTGTATGGCACCAGAAACCGAAAACGGGCAAAAATGAGCTCCATTTTTTTATTGATATTTTCAGAAAATCACCTATAACTTTTCAATAAGGTATCGAATCGGGCTGAAACTTTGGCATATGTTTGTTACATCTAGCACAACATTTGGGCGGAGAATGAGCGTTCGGCAATGCCTAATTTATTTTTGCGGTAAAAAGAAAAAAAAAAAGGTTATACATTTTTTTTTTGGTGACACCCTGTACTTGCAACAGTAGTTTGCTGCATACTACGTTGCTTGAGGATATCTTCCGCTAAGCACCTTGGTGAACGCGAAATGACTCACACTCATATAAACTCGCCTGCTCAACGGGCTACGCTGCAGTGTGTGAAACACTGATCTCTTTCGTAGCAGCCTGGATCGCGGATCGGGAGCCCGTTGGTGGCACCACCGGAGGCCATCGCTTGCCACCAGGGCCGGCTTGCTCGAAGCAGAGTCTCAGTTGAGACTGCTCAAAGAAAGCGCTGCAAAGGCGAGCGCTCGAGCTTAAACCGAGTCTCAGACGCTCGCGCGCCCGAGCCTTGGCAGCGCTTTCTTTGAGAAGTCTCAACTGAGACACTTCTTCTAGCAAGCCGGCCCAGGTAATACTCGGAAGTCTATGGGAGAAACACAAATGCAGGAATATTGAAGCTTCCACGCGGTGCTCGAAGGCGAGTCTCTAAGGATGTGGCTGCGATCATTCTATTGAATGTTTGGAGATTAAGACGGTATTTGACAAACGTGTGAACACCGATAAAAAAAAAAAAAAGTCAGATGTGGCGGAGCATTACCGACTGTGCCGGCGTCGCTTGCTTCAATGGCTAAATAAATGACATGTTCAAAAAACTAACAGTACGCTCCGAGTTTTAGTTCGTCACAGAAGCCCTCATTGCAGTTCCAAGCGAAATTTTGCACCAGAAGTGCTCTGTACAAGCGCTCGAAACGATGCCCCAGTATAAGCCTTCTAACTTATCGCCTGCTTACCTCTTATGACTTCGAGATCACGAACGATTCAACGTCGACCCCCGCAACCATTGTCTCATTGACCGCATAACAACTTAAGCCTGTCACAACCCTGATCCCTAGACCGCAAGACATTTTTTTAAATATTTGTATTATAACGATTTTGATATTTGCACCCAGAATATTTACTGTCATTGCCGGAAAGCACGATAAAAGTTTCATCGTCGAGAGCAACCTACTAAAGTAAGAAATTGCAGTTTTCCCAGTTTCCTCCATAGAGTCCCATGCATTAGCCAGTATCAAGCGATGACCGCCAGTTGTGCCGTTCGACCCCAGCAGAAGAAGCCTCGATCTGCGATCCAGACTACTACTATAGAGACCAGTGGTGTCAAACACTCCTCGCAAACGCCGGCAGCTGTGTTTGTTATCGTTTGAAACCAAAACGGAAAGGGCGATTTCTTGATATTTCTGAAAACAATAATGACTGTATAGTTTGCTCCTTAACCATAAAATAAGCCGAATAAAAGAATACCACGGCATGGAGAAACGATTTAACAACTGCAGAAGCATAGAAATCTAAGCAAGCTAAGAGTGCACCGTAAAAATAAAGAAGACGGACCGGTGGAAGATACAGACAAACAAGGCGTTAACCTTGCACCTTGTCTGTCTACTGATCCGTCATCTTTTTCTGCGCTGTTTTTCTTTGTTTTAATTTACAACAAAGATTTTACACGTCAATCATCTCTTTAACCAATCAGATCCAAAAAAATGTTCTTAGCCAGCTCAGGGTGAGCCTAGAGCAGGGCTACCCCCCCCCCCCCCTAAATTGCGTCTAAAGGCGTAAATATTGTTAAGATATATTTGGTTTTGGAAACATTTACAAAAAATTGTTTGCCATCTAGTTGCTTAATTATTATTTTTTTATTTCAGTGTCGTATAAGATTTTTTTTAAATGGTTCGATGACTCGCATCATTAATACACGAAAAATTAATTTCTTTAGTCAAACTTAATTTTGTCGGTGACTTAAAGATATTTAAGATATGTTAGTGAAATATACCTTTGTATTTTGAAACAAGCGTGGACTTCTGTGAAGCTTCCTGTAGTAGTTGTGCCTGTCCACACATTTCTTCCGAAAAACTGCCATGTCCTTGAAATTATGCGAAAAGGCTTAGTTCGAAGAATCGGCAAATTATATTTTGTTGTTGCGAAAAGCACTTGCTCATCACAATTTCTCAACATGGTTTTCTGAACAGTAAAGTCAAAAGAAAGAACGTTTTCCACTTATAGTAAAACTATTAGTTATCATTTTGAAAACCATTGGTTGAGAGCGCTGGACATTTGTTTGGATTTTAGGAAGGCATTTGATCGCTAAAGACATTGCTTATTTTTGTATATGTTGTATTGATATGGGGGGCATTCAAAAAGTTTCGCTGCCTCTCATAGAGCCGTACATGAACTTCTGTCGTTGATTGGTCTATGTTAGCTGAAACTTCATCCTTCATAAAAGAGCTTTAGGTGCTCCGCAGGGCAGCATTCTTGGTATTTTTTTGTTTATTTGATATATTAAGAATATCGCACACTGACCAACATGCTATGCTTGTTATTTATGCTGGAAATATCACTGTTTTATTTTCACATATTCAAAAACAAGTCTCGTTGTAAGAGCCAATGGAGTTCGTTTGAAAATAAAAGCGTGATCGGAAAACAATGCTTTTGGTATGAAGGCACAAAAAACAACAACGAAGGTTTCATTATTTAGTTGAATAAATGTTCATGTGTGATTATCATTTACCGTTATGGATAGGTAATTTAAGACCGGTGTTCACATGTCACGCAGCGCTTAGATAGCGAAAAGTTAGCGCTGCCTCAGCGCTTATGTGATCGCCTAATTTGTGCTGATTTAGCGCTAATATAAAGATAAGTCAGCGCTGTGCCTATAGCACTGTGGTGGTGCTGTGCTGTATATGTCTACAGGCGTTTAAGAATAATTATGTAAAAAATTAACATAGAGTGCGATATTCTCGTGCAGCATGTCTTGGTACGAACATTTTCAGTACCTGCCACGTCAGCTTTGTAGTGTTCGGTGTAATGAATAAACATATATAAATTTGCCGCTTAACGTTAAACTCGTACTATACATGCAACTATTTAGTCCAATCTATGTTCCGGGAGCCACTGGCGTGACTAACGTAAACGAGGTAAGGTTGATAAAAAAACAAACAAACAACGCCCATACTTAAAGTAATGTTAATATCTTTGCCCTCTGCTGTAAAGATATGGTGCCTCTTAATGTATCGATTTCTTGCATTACGTTCACTTCATAACTAGAGAATACCACATAATTCTTAATTTTGCTAGAGCTAAAGAAAATTACACATTATGTTCAACAGAAAAAGCATCGTGACATGGGTATTAGGCATTAACTTCGGCAAGCAAAAATGAGACATTCGCTAAACACCGTTTTGAATAACACCTTTTCGCTTGGTATTGGCAGAAATTCAGCCACTGGCAAATACACACCCATAACAATCGTTTAAACATTTCTCGTGTCCTTCTTGAAATCATTATGAGCTTGTAAATTTAAGGCATTGCAACCAAAATGTGGCGCTTATTTATTAGGTTGTGATTTAGGTTGAACATTTTTGTTGACTTCTACACACTTTTTTTTTTCAATTTTCCTCTACTTGGTTTGTAAGTTGTATACTTCTTGTTTTTTTTTGTTGTAGCTGACCTTGCGTGATATATTATTCCTGTTTTGTTTTTTCCTCTACTGCTAGCAATTTTGTATAACGTTATTTTGTATTAAATTTACCGCGTTTTTTGAAAGGTGCAAAGTTGATACAGTAGTAATGCAATTCCTCTTAATAGTATTGAGGAAAGATTTTGCATGGAAACGTATACTCCATTACTATAGAAATATTTCCTTTTTCCATTTGACTCCAAGCCTAGTAAATCATATATCCATAATGATATTCCTATTTGTTATTTTCGGAACCGGGGTAAAAGAGGCAATGATATACAGGCTGTTTTTTTTTTTTATTCTTTCAGATTTGTTTAAAAACGCCGTGAAAGCTACACTTAAGCGGTTTGTGGAGGTGAGTTATACGGCCAGAGGAACATGGTATAGGGAGAGAGTCGCAACTATCAGTTAGCTAATTGAGTAAAATTTGTTAATATTTTTAATTAGTGCAAATAGAGATATATTTCAATTAGAAACTTGCTGAGCATCGTCGAAAACCACTAAATCCACTTTTTTAGAGGGACATAACGCCGGGGCAGCATTTTACGGAGTTCTATAAAAACGCTAAATTGGGACGCGTTTCTCGATTTCGGTTACTAATCGGAGCGCAACTTTGCGCCCGCGGTCCTGCTCCCCGGTGGTCGCGGTGCGAAGCTACCTCTTCGCCTCACTCGTAGAATGGAGGGAAGTAGGGCGGACGTCTGTTGCCCGTCTCAGCTACTGGGATGCAGGACCGCGGGCGCGTAGATGCGCTCCGATATGAAACCGAAGTCTAGAAACTCGTGTAAATGAAGCTTTTTTACAGAACGGCGTTAAATGCTGCCCCGGCGCTATATCCTTCTAAAAATAGTTGATTTAGTAATTTCCGATGATGCTCAGCAAGTGTCTAATTGGAACTGATGTCTATTTGCACTAATTACAAAGTGAATTAACAAATTTTACTTAATTAGCCAACTTATAGTTGCGACTATCTCCCTATACTACGTACCCCTTGCCGTTTAACGCACATGTACAAACCGCATAAGTGTAGCTTTCATGGCTTTTTTTAAACACATATGAAAGAATAAGAAAAAAAAAACACCTTGTATATATTGATATAAGGAAAAAGGACTTTGGGCAATGTTCGCGAAAGAGTCTTTCGGTTTGCCTCAGTGTTCAGCTTACCGTTTCCCACGAAGTCGGGTGGTATTGACCTGGAGAAGTTGATGCACAAAATCAATTGGTATACTTGATAGATTAAATGCTTATGAAAGATATCCGGTTGTATCAAGAACGAGAATAAATAGTAGCCTCTAACTGAGCAGCAGTTAACACGTTTACGAATACTGTTACAGCCAAGACATTGCGATCACCCCTACAGTGTGAGACTGAGCGTTCTACACACTAAACATCGTAACACCCTTGTGGGTGTAAACGGCTTGTCCTATAACTAACACCCATTTGGGTGTAGCAAAACGCCCTAAACAAAGGGCGTTATTCGTAACGCCCCTAAAATAGGGCGTTTTTCCCTAACACCCTTAAAGGGCGGCGTTATTCTGAACACCTTTCAATTAGGGTGTGATTCCTCTGTACACCTTTTTATTAGGGCGTTATGTCTGCGCAGTACGCCCTCTAAATTGTGTGTATCACCGCCAGAAAGGGAAATAAAAAAGGCACGATTATCAACACCCATAAAGTAATGCGTAATAACCCAAAAGAGTGCACAAGAAAATGACTGCAAATGCCTGGTTCACTTTTTATTTTTTAATCAAGGTTCTAACAGGTTCTACAAAATTCTCTATAGACGATTACAAGCAGGGCATCTGGCCGCAGCCATGTCTCTGCTTATGCGGGCAAGTGCGTGCAATTACAAGCGTGCCAAAGGGCACAGCTACGTTCACGCGCACGTCATCAAACTTGGCGAAGGCAAGACTGAAAGAAATAGTTCTCTTTTACCCTCGCAATTCCACCACGACCGAGACGCTTCTAAACCAGTGGCGGTCCGTGCGTGTAAGGTCATGAATATTTCAACCAGATATTGCTTCATAACCCCTTCAAATTCTACAACCGAAGGCCCTAGATGAATCTTCAACTGTACTTTTCTTGTGACGTTTATGCTTTCTTGCACTGGTGACGTGGACAAAACTGACAAGCTTGCAAAGACGGTACGACCAGGAGTTACTTGAGACGCAAGCGGCAGTTCATGTTTGTAAAACGTAAAATGGTCTATTGAAACGGAAGCAGGGAGGCTATGTTCGACAAATGTTTCGTTACTCCTAAAAATAAACGGAAGTGGCGGAAGTGACGATATCGCGTTTGATTGGTTAGAGGTTCAATGACGAAAGTTACTTATTTTCGCCATTTGACCTTCCAACCAATCAAACGCGATCGTGGCTTCCGTCACTTCAGTTTCTTTTTAGGAGAAATGAAACATTTGTCGAACATAGCCCCCTTGGAATACTATCAGAAGCATGCTTGAAGAGTACTTACAAATAAAACAGCGATCTCATGTAATCCGTGATAGATGCATAGTCCGATTCGGGCAGCACAGAACTATCCACAAACACAATGTCGAGGATGAAGCGGTCGCTCACATTCAGCGGAAGTTTCGCGGTCGCCGATGAGCACCTCTCTGTCGTGATAGATGCGTAATCCGATTCGGGCAGCACAAAACAACGCAAACACAATGCCGAGGTTGAAGGCGGTCGATCACATTCAACGGAAGTCTCGCGCCGCAGATGAGAAGCTCTTTGTCGAAATGCGTCCACCAAATACAGCACAATAATTCCATGGAATCCGACGAAATAAACGACCATTTCCGAAAAGTTGTCATGAATGTATTCCGGCCGTTCACGACGAAAAATCACGGCCGCGAGCTGAACCACACGAAAAACAGGAATACACTGACGGGCGCCCCCCCGTTTTGTAAACCGGGCCTACGTGGCCCCTACAACTCACCATAACTTGGCATACGGCAAAGACTACGGCCCCAGTAGCCCATCAGCGCGTCAGAGCGAATCACGTGCAAATTTCCGTCCAAGCGTCCTTGTCCTACGGAGAGCGGTCACGTGTTTCGCTCCACCCCTCTGATTTGCTAGAAGCGGCCTTCGCACTCGCTCACAGCAACACGAAGACACAAAAGAAGGTTTGGAGGCTTATCAGAAGACGAGGTCAAAGGGGGTTGGACAAAGCCGCTAATCTCCCTCTGCTGCTTTGTATTGCCACCTGCCCTGCCCAGGGAAGGTCGCGAAATCGGACTCGCCAGGGCTTGCCTTGCGTAGTAAAACCTTGAGCGTCTCAAACTGCCACTCCTGTAGACGCGCATGATCTGGTACGGACCGCGAGATCACAAGATAAATACGAAAAACATTTTTAACGCCGCCGAAGACGCGGTTTCACGTGTTCCAAAGAAAAAACAAAAAAAAAAAAAGCGTCGGAAAGCTAGATATTTCGGTGTCATTGCGCAGAGATATGAGTCGCGTCCCTGGGGGTGTCATTAATCCGGCACTTTTGATTGTCTTGCGACATTGTTTCTTCAGAGCTACACTCCAAAATAAAGTATCAGTGAAGGTGCTATAAGTAGTGCGAAACCCAGTCAGGTAAGTTTGTAATATCGGAAATGAGGGCGCCACAGTTTGTTCAAGTCTTCAGCTGAAAAAGTCTTTCTCAGGTTAAAAGTAAGCAGATTCTATTTCACTTAATCTTGCTTTGTATTGTTTTTTAACGTCGGATTTTAGACACTCAAGAAATAGAAATACCTCGCCGGCATAGCCGATTCACGCAGGACACTCTTGACAGTCGACCAAAAACGGCGCCACGTACGGTATCTCAGGATAGCGTCGGCGCGACCCATCCCATTTTTCAGATATTGGCTAGACCAAAATAATATCGGCACAATCTTTCCGATTTAATTCCATAACAGCGCAATAGTGTGTGCTGCCTAGACTGTATATTTACACGTCTTCATTCTTTTTTTTCTTTTTTTTTGCGAGCGGAGATGAGTTTTTTTATAATCAAGGTTGAACCGATAAAACTGATGCACGCGCGAAACGTAATTTTAGGCTCGTGTCGAACGAAGAACTCAATAGGAGTTGCAAAAACTATTCTCTAGCACTTCCTAATCATACGCGACTCCGTGTGGCGATTAATTACACCCGATGTTTGTACCGCCGTACATCAGCAACAGTTTCACCAAACCAATAAATATGAACGGCTATGAAATCTTGGGTGTATTTGACAGCATCATCATTACGCCCCTTTCACACCGTGTGGATGAAGGGCGTAAAATTCGCCCATACACCCTTTTTACACGATTTTAGACACCATCGCTGCAATTGGGGCGTAAAGAGGGCGTATAAAGGGTGTAAAACCTCAGCACACCCTTTTTACACCAACCGATATTCAGAAATCGTGTAAAAAGCGTGTAAAAAGGGTGTTTTTCCTAACCTACACCCTTCCTACACCCTTTTTACACGATTATGGGTGTTACAATGTTTAGTGTGTATGCTGACGTGCCATCCGGATTATCTTCATTTGCTGATGTAGGTGGCAGCTAACTGCTGCAGAGGCTACGATGAGATCGTTTTGTCGACTACATGGGCATCTATTGAGAAAGGCTGCTGACTTAAACGACTTTCACAAATGAAAGATCGTGATGGCCCGATGGCTCGGAAGAAATATCTTGGAAACTGCAAAACTCGTCTGGAGTTTTGCGAGCTGCCGTCGTTTGTACGTAGCAAAATGGCAAGAACGACGGTGAATGCTAGTAGACGCCGATGCGTTGCACTTCCACGCTTCATGTCAGAATGTGTACGTCGGAAGCTTTTCCATTTGTTGAGGCAAAATAGGCAGCTAGCAGTGACTCGAGTGACAGCTGGATTTAATGCAGGTCAAGGTACACGGGGTTCTAAGTGCAGAGTTAACAGGACCCTCCTTTGTATGAGACATGCAACAGTTTTGGCGTGAACGAAGGCAAATACACGTGAAATGTGATTTGTGTTTGTCCTTTGTCCCCCTTGTTTCTCCTTTCCAGGGATTGTTATTGTTATTCTTTACGGTTGAGTAATTACAACCCATTTCAGGAGAACGTCTTAAAAAGCCAACGCAACGGACCCCGTGAGCTGATACGTTCAATTGTGCAAAGCACGTGGTGTGCACTCGTTCACACTGCGGCCTTCGCCTGCTGAAGGAGAGCATTGCGAAAGCCATAGAAATACACGCAAAGCTCCTGGCCACCCTGTCTAGAATAGGAAATATACGAAATTGAACAACGTATTCACGTATACTTTCAAACGAATCCAGGGACCTCTTGCTGTATTAATCTAGGTTTAAAGATTAAACTCCGGCGACCACACACGCCAAGGAAATTCGCGTTCCCCAAAAGATTAAAAAGAAACCACTTGTCAATTCAGGTTTTTGGTCTCAATGAAATATTTAAGATTTTTAAATAAAGGAATACCTATGTCCAGCACTGACCGAACTTTCTAAATTATAGTCATGGTACCCTTTCCGGTGCATTCGATAAGGCATATAAGGTGACCATATTTTATAGAAATGTTTATTTCAATGCTCATATTTTACTAAATATATTTTATAAGTTGATAACAAGCCATAAATTAAGAAATATAAAGCCACGTTGAAAGGGGTGTGAGTACGCGTAATTCCCCCCGAAAAAAAATCCAATATGACAAAAAGATTACAGGAGGATACTGAGACTGCTTACGTGTACGAATGCGAAAGCATTCCTACAAGCAGCGCGCCACGTCTTCTTATCTCGCATGACGCTCCGGCGCTGGCATCACGCCCCCCACCCTCCCCCTCCCCCATGCGAACGCGCTGCAAACCCCGTCGGCACCACGCCTTCCGTGATGATGCATCTGCGTTGCTGTTCTTTCCTTTGTGTTTTATTTCTTAAACGGCTCCGCCGGCTTGCATGACGAAGCACCTGCGTTGCTGTGCTTTTGGTCGATGGGAATTTAACTGCCGTTTCGCTGCTACAGACGGTTACTGACAACGCCGGCTTTGCTCCATGGACAGTTAATGCTTTCGCAGTAAAAGGATTCTAAATGGGAAAATTTAAGCTAGCCTTGGCGGTTTCATAATCCCGGGGAAGATAGAATGTATAGTACGTGTATTATGCGTGCGCTATAATTTGCTATGCTTGGTTGCGGGGATCCTTGGGTGGTTTGGAATGCGCTGCACACGCAACACATTCCTGCGATCTCCGGGATTATCAGAATGATCAAGACAAGTTTATATTTCTTGAAAAGTAGAGTCACGAGCATGTTTAATGATAACGTTTTCATGGCTTCTGCTTCTTTGGTGAATCCGTGTAGGGCCTTAAAATTCTCAGTGCTGTTAGATTTCTAGGAGCTCCTTTTGGCAACTGAAGTTAATCGCGCACTTCAGAAAAAGATCAACGTGGTGCGCAAGATCGTCTGCTTCTTTTGAAGGTGTTCTGGTGGCGTTAGAACGCCGAGCTCTGGTTGGCTCTGATCTAAGGACAGTGGGTAGACTTAAAAGCAAGCTGCCTTGAGGTCTACCCACTGTCATAGCCAATATACCATTTGCTATATTACCCAAGCATCAAGGAGAATGCAGGAATTGGTGTTCCACGCGCCACACGTGCGCGCCTTTCCCATATAAACGATTCGAAGTAAATAACCAAAATAAAACGTTGACGAACGCGCGTGCAAGATGCCATTTGTTTTATTTGTTTTAGGTATTTGCTTTAGAAAAGTTACTACTGCTGACGCCAGCACGTACGTGCGGTGCCTGAAACACCAATCCCTGCATTCTCCTTGTCCTGGGTGATATAGCAATAGGTCTATAAAACTCGGCGTTCTGACGTCACCACTACAACTACAAAAGAAGCAGACGAACTTGGGCTCCGCGTTGATTTTTGAATTCGTTCTGACATCACAGCTGGCGTACACACTAAATGACTTGTCCTATAACTAACACCCATTTGGGTGTAGGAAACACCCCTAAAATAGAGTGTTTTTCCCTAACACCCTTAAAGGACGGCGTTATTCCGAACACCCTTAAGTTAAGGTGTGATTCCACTCTACACCTTTTTATTAGGGTGTTATGATTGCGCAGTACGCCCTCTAAATTGGGTTTATCACCGCCAGAAAGTGAAATAAAAAAAGGCGCGATTAGCAACCGCCATAAAGTAGGGCGTAATAACCCCAAAAAGTGCACGAAAAAATTACTGCAAATGCATGGTTCACTTTTTATTATTTGATCAAGGTTCTAACAGGTTCTACAAAATTCTCTATAGACGATTGCAAGCAGGTCATCTGGCCGCAGCCATGTCTCTGCTTATGCGAGCAAGTGTGTGCAATTACAAGCGTACCAAAGGGCAAAGCTACGTTCACGCACACGTCATCAAAGTTGGCGAAGGCAAAGACTGAAAGAAATAGTTCTCTTTTATACTCGCAATTTCACCACGACCAAGACGCTTCTTAACCAGTGGTTAAAGGCGGTCGATCACAATCAACGGAAGTCTCGTGGCCGCCGATGAGCAGCTCTTTGTCGAAACGCGTTCAACAAACACAGCACAATAATTCCATGGACTCCGACGAAATAGACGACCATTTTCGAAAAGTTGGTATGGATGTATTCCGGCCGTTCACGACGAAAAATCACGGCCGCGACTGAAATGCACGAAAAACAGGAATACACTGACGGGCGCCCCTCTTTTTGTAAACCGGGCCTACGTGGCCCCTACAACTCACCATAACTTGGCATGCGGCAAAGACTACGGCCCCAGTAGCCCGTCAGCACGTCAGAGCGAGTCACGTGACAAATTTTCGTTCAAGCGTCCTTGCCCTACGGAGAGCAGTCACGTGTTTCGCGCCACCCCTCTGATTTGCTAGAAGCGGCCTTCGCACTCGCTCACAGCAACACGAAGACACAAAAGAAGGTTTGGAGGCTTATCAGGAGACGAGGTCAAAGGGGGTTGGACAAAGCAGCTAATCCCCCTCTGCTGCTTTGTATTGCCACCTGCCCTGCCCAGGGAAGGTCGCGAAATCGGGCTCGCCTCGCCAGGACTTGCTTTGCGTAGTACAACATTGAGCGTCTCAAACTGCCACTCATGTAGACGCGCATGCTCTGGTGCGGACTGCGAGATCACAAAATAAATACGAAAAACAATTTTGAACGCCGTCGAAGACGCGGTTCACGTGTACCAAAAAAAAAAAACCGGAAAAAAAGAAAGAAAAAAAAAAAAAAAACGTCGGGAAGCTAGATATTTCGGTGTCATAACGCAGAGATAAGAGTCGCGTCCCTGGGGGTGTCATTAATCCGGCACTTTCGACTGTCTTGCGACATTGTTTCTTCAGAGCTACACTCCAAAATAAAGTCTAAGTGAAGGTGCAATAAGTAGTGCGAAACCCAGTCAGGTGAGTTTGTAATATCCGAAATGAGGGCGCCACAGTTTGTTCAAGTCTTCAGCTTAAAAGGTATTTCTCAGGTTAAAAGTAAGCAGATTTTATTTCGCTTAGTCTCGCTTTGTTTTGTTTTTTAACGTCGGATTTTGAGCAGACAAGAAATAGAGATACCTCGCGGGCATAGCCGATTCACGCAGGACACTCTCGACAGTCAACCCAAAACGGCGCCACGTACGGTATGTCAGGATATATCGTCGGCGCAACCCATCCCATTTTTCACAAATATTGGCTGGACCAAAATAATATCGGCACAATCTTTCCGATTAATTCCATAACAGCGCAATACTGTGTTTTTTGCGAGCGGAGATGATTTTTTTTTTAAATCAAGGTTGAACCGATAAAACTGATGCACGCGCGAAACGTAATTTTAGGCTCGTGTCGGACGAAGAGTTCAATAGGAGTTGCAAAAACTATTCTCTAGCAGTTCCTAATCATACGCGACTCCGTGTGGCGATTAATTATACTCGTTGTTTGTACCGCCGTACATCAACAACAGTTTCACCAAAGCAATAAATATGAACGGCTATGAAATCATGGGTGTATTTGGCAGCATCACCATTACGCCCCTTTCACACCGTGTGGATGAAGGACGTAAAATTCGCCCATACGCCCTTTTTACACGATTTCAGACGCCATCGCTGCATGTGGGGCGTAAAGAGGGCGTGCAAAGGGTGTAAAATGGCAGCACACCCTTTTTACGCCCACCGATATTCAGAAATCGTGTAAAAAGCGTGTAAAAAGGGTGTTTTTCCTAACCTACACCCTTCTTACACCCTTTTTGCACGATTATGGTTGTTACAATGTTTAGTGTGTATGACGTCAGTTCTGACATCTGCGATAGGATTTATCTACAATTATGTTGGGTTAAGCATCACTCGCAGCCGATGATCGCCTGTGGGCTAAGAATGATTTACTAAGTATGAATCGCCACCAATGGTGTCCTGCAGACTTAGTACGCTGGGCTAAGTATAATTTGCCGCCGACGGATTCTATAACTCTCCGCAGACGATTTTCTCCAGACAAAGTATAGGCCTGTGTCTCTCGGCCAGGGGGCGCGAGCATGCCCGTAAGGCGCGACCGTATAAGACATGCATCGAGCGCAACGTGCCACTGTTGTGTTCGATCATGCACGAATCACAGTCATTCGCAGGCGTGCGTCAGCATCTCTTCACGCACGGTAACAGAGTGCGTGAAAGAACTAGAAAAGGTTTAAACATAGAAAAAAAAAGATGCAGCTCGCGCTGTCCTCTAAAGACAATAAGAATCCTTTCATATAGCTTTTTTGTTGTACTTTTTTTCCCCAAAAAAACCTTTACCTACCATTAACAGTCTGTCAGCTTAGCGTCCGGTCGTAACGTCAAAAAGTTCTTCCCAAACTTGAGAGCTAATTCGCCTCCGACGATCGCCCGTGTATGAAGTACCCACGACTAACTATGAATTACCGCAAACGGTCGCCTGCGGTCCAAGTATGCTGCAGACTAAGGATGACTCTGCGCCGGCGGTTGCCTGTGGTCGAAGTATTCTGGACTAAGTAGGACTCGCCGCCGACGTTCCCCTACGCACTAAGTATGCTAGACTGAGTATAACTCGCCTCCGATGGTCGCCTGCACAATAAATATGCTGAACCAAGTATGCTGAACTAGCCGAGGACTGTCGCGTGCTACTGCAGGTGATCATCGGCAGCAAGCGATACTTAGTCCGGTTGCTCGCGCTTCCGTTGGTCTCCTGCTTGTGGAGCCGAGCAAAGATGTCGGACTGCGCATCGCTTAGTTCGGGGTTCGATTCCCGCTGAGCTGCTTGATGAGCCTCACTGATATTTCTGTTGTTTGAATGCAAACCTAATTTCTTAGGTTTGAATGCTGATCTGTGCATCCATTACGTTGCCTTGGCCTGCTTGTAACGCTTTTTCGTCAGAGTCGAGCGTTACACTATTCTTACAAAATCCAGCCTATGAAGACATTTTGTGTTAAAATCTGTTTAATTGTTTTTTTGCCATATTCGACTGAAGACTTTAGTCACATTTGACAATAGTCATGTAGAAACAATCTTAGTCAGTGATATACGCTAGAGTGACTAAACAGGTCACATGAATAATGCAACAAATGGTAGACATAAAAGCACTAATCATAAACCAATAATATAAATCACTGGAGCATAAGTTGCCATAAGAAAGGTGTGAAGCAATACTTACCGACTACGATGTCTAGTACGAGATACACACTTAGTATGAATTCTAGCGAAAATAAATTCATGGTTTCCTTCCTTGCTGTATGCAGTTCAATCGCTTGATTTCTTTTGTAGAGATTAAAGTAATGTGATATGTATATACGTTTCCTGTTTCCGCCTTTTAACATTTCATGGAGAGACGGATTCTCCAGTGAACTATGTCTGACTTTTTTGTAGTGATTATTTTTTGTAAATGTCCATTTTGTATATTGCTTAGTATCCCACTGGCACATGTCTATATTAAATTAACTCGGGTATATCTAAAAAATAGCGAGACGGTTGTAAACCAGAAATAAATATCAAGTCCTAACTTTTGAAAATACGCTGCAGATGTGAAAGTAGCATTTTGCTTTACACGTCCATTTATTTCTTTCGTAGAACGAAGGGATGTTGAAAGTCGTTCATCTTTGTGAAGCGACCAGCTGCTCCATGTTTCCTAACCAGAGCAGTAGTGGGGTCATACTGCGCGTGCCCTGCGGTACGGAGCCACCAAAGTTGTGGTTGCCAGACATATACCAACCAGATCCCAAGAAAGACTATGCTACGCAAGCAACAACTCTGAAACACATTTTTTTTCAGCCATATATGGGGTCCGCAGAAATTGCTATTGCCTCTCAAATAAGCGAAAATTGTTAATTTTGAAGGATGAAAGAACTTAACAAATTTTGCAGAGTGAAGCTACTCGAAATCTTTACTATTTCTTCTGTATTACGTAACTTTAGCAAGCGCTCATCACTACACCTTAATTATGAGATCTATGGAGGTCTTTAGATTCTATATTATTTTGTACCGAACAAAAACGATTGACAAATGTAGAAATGAAAATAAGCGTGTGATTTGGCGAACTGGGGCATACAAACTTAAAAAGAAAAGTCCTGCGTCGGCAACGGAAAGTCGACGGTCCCGAAGCAACCCGTTATCGCTGCCTTTTTTATACGCCCTAAGATCATGGATGTTTCGAACCTGAACTCACGATGATCGCCGAGTATGACTTTACAGAAGAGTACACAATTATAACTGTATAAACGGGGTCGAGTGGAACTCGAAACCGGTTCCTCCGCGTGGCTGCTCCATGGGCTGCCAACTCATCCACGCAAGAGGCATTACGTTGCATATATATCTTTACGATTCAAGTAATCAAATTTGGTACTGGCGGGCTGGGTTCAATCAGATCATCAAATATAAGCATTCAAGTGAAGTAGCGTCCTTTTTGGTGCACAAAGCACAGATTAGGGTTACCAAAGGAAAGAATTCAACTTGAGCTGATGCTCTGAAGTACTCGTTTTTCTCACATAAAGTTGAAAAATGCAATAGGCCACTCGCAATAATGTTTCAATGATTTCAAATTATTTTATTCGTAAAACGGAAGTGATAATGCTTTTTTTTGGGGTCATGATTTGTCTTTCTTATAGTTGAGTTTTTTAAAGCTTGTAAATGTATGCGTACACACTGGTGTATAGGTGTATATGTACATAATGGAATAAAACAGCGCAAATATACGAAAAGGAAGAGACAAACTAGCCCAGCTTTCAACCTTATTATAGGTGTGTATGTCTGTGCTCGTACTACACTCCACCAATAATTGCTGCTCGGTGCTGCAGGATAAAGGTAAAAAAAATTATAATTTCTTTTAGAAATTAGGGCGTACCGTGTGGCAGAAAACAAACGTGTTTAGTTAGGCTAGTTCTAATGAGTTCCTTTTTTTTACATATTACATGCACTCCAGGGCTCATTTTCCGGGAGAAGTGTATGGAACCTTCCGAGAACCGTTGTCAAATGTGTAGCTCGTACTTCGTAGGGCAACCTAATTTTTTTTGTTTTAAATGTCGCCAAGCACCGGCGCCGCAGATGCGTCGGTGCGTAAATACACGCTTGTTTCGCCCGTGCGTGTATAACAGAATTTTGGTATTCAAAAAAGGTTTTTTATAAAACTAACCGTTACCAGCAGGTTTAGATGGGCGCACCAAGAATGGAGACGTCAAGGAGAAACTGCTCATTCCCTGAAACGAAATGGTGACCGTACGGGAAGCGTGACGCTACTTTTCCGGGAACCAGTGATGACATGTGACCATCTCGTTCCGAACGCGTCTTTTTAATTGTTGTTCGTGAGCGCGTGTAAGAGCGTCTTCCGGGGCGCGCTCTTGGTGCTGCATGACTGTGCTATGGCAGCAGAGCTAACGTTGAGCGGAGCCTTTTATACTGAAAGAGTTTTGCCTTCTTGAGGAGATTTTGATAGCCTGATAACCACAGCAGCGTAGTCTGACAACCGGGAGAAGTCTACTTCCGTCCGCCATTTCGTGGCTCTGACTCATAGGAACTCTTTGCGATTTCTCAAGAATAAACGAGAAAAAGTAGTAACGCCATTGTGTGTTATCACGAAATTAGCTGGTTCTAGCCGGTAGCAAGCTCCGCCCATTGGCCCAACTCTTTCAATATAAACGGCGCTGTATGACGGCATTTTGTTTCGGGCTAGTCCTTAGTATTTTTTTCCCCTGAGCGCGTGCTGTCAGCCACGGTTATATGAAGAATGTCATCACCATAAATAGAAGAAGATGGAAACACTCTACTTCCAATCAGATCTCGGTGCTCTGACATTTCAGTGCGTTTCCATCTCCTCTCCGTAAATTTTCATTCGTGTACAAAAAAATAAAACAGGATTACAAAGAGTTGGCTGCAATTGACAGGGGTAGCTGCTGCGTTGTCGAAAGGCCCTCTCGAGCGTGGAAGTCGGGGTGCCATTGCGAACCATTTGCCTACTCTGCGCCTGGTGTGCCTGCACTTCGGACGCAGTGAAACGCTTGCGTGGTTTGGCCATATGTCTTGTAGAAAGTGAGTGAGGGGCGCCCGTGATCGCTGTTGCGGCGGAAGAAGCGAAAGTACAGCCTCCAGTATTGTTAACAATATCGTGCGAACGCCCACCGGCCTGTAGATCAGTGCCTTATCGCGGCGTGAAAGAGCAAGTCAGCGAGGCTAGGCGTGTGCCCTCTGCCACACGCGTGTACTCTCGCTGACCTGCTCTTTCACGCCGCGACAAGGCACTGATGTACAGGCCGGTCGACGTTCGCCTGATATTAGGGAGTTTTAGAATAGCGCACCCTAAAGTTTTGCGTACGCAAAGAATAGCGTCGTCGTCACTGCGCATGCGCCGAACGTAAACCACGTTTTGCGCTTTGTGCGCGCTATTTTAGCGTGCACAAAAACCCTTTGCGCACGCACGCTATTTCTGAGAAATAGCGTGCGTGCGCAAAGGGTTTTTGCGCTTCTCCAAGGAGGATTCGTGATGAGAAGTTGGCTAAAGCCGAGACGAGCACAGTTAAAAAAATGGCGGCCCCCACGACCATGGCTGCGGCCGCTTTGGCGGCGTCATGAGCGCGACGTCGGCGGCATCATCGAGACTGCGATTTTCAAGACGGGACGAGATTGCACTCGGTTCGGAAAACCCAGTAAGGTGGGCAACCATCACCGGCAACTTGATGCTTGCGACGAGCGAACATATATCGGCGAAGGTCAGTCTTGCCGAGGCGGAGCATGCGGACACGACCGGTCGACCGCTCGCGTCGCATTCTCGCGTTTAAACAAAAGTAAAATTGTTACTCCGGACCAAAATTCTTGTTTCTTCTCAAGTTACAGCATTTCGTGTGTGAAATAAAAATCGTGACTGTATCTTGGTGGCGTTACAAGTGCGAGATGCTTGGGCGTTTCCGTCGCTGCGGAGAAACGCTATTCTAAAACTCTCTTGCGTCGCGTGCGGTAACGCAAGCGCTAAATTTAGCGCTAGCGCGCGCTAAAATCGCGTACGTTATTCTAAAACTCCCTATTGTTAAAAAATCCGGAGGCTTTACGTAGGCGAGCTGTTTTCTAGAGGCGCGGAGAGCGCACGAGAACGCAACATGACGGCGGCTGTGGGGAAGCGAGGGAGCGTGTCGCCAGAGCGGGACCACGTGGGCACTTTTTAACGGCAGCAGCAGGAGGGCCTGGGGATAAGGGGGGGGGGGGGAGGGAAAACGTAGCCGGAGTGTACTTGGATGTAGCAGGAACGATAGAGAGGCGGTGGAGCGCTCCCCCCTGGATCACGTGGGTTTTCCGGAACAGAGGCGGCCTGACAAAAGGGGGGTAAGGGGGGTTGGGAGGGGGGGAGGGGGGGGGGGGAGGAAGCGCGAGAAAGAGCTTTGCCGTAATTATAGGCCTCTTACGATGAAACTTTGAACAAACTGTGGCGCCCTCATATTGGGTAGTAGAAGGTCACCTGATTGGGCCTCGCACTACTTATAACAGGTTGGATGAGCTTTTTTTTTTTTTCTCTTTCCGTGTGGTGATGAGGAACGCAAAAAAACGCAATAGACCGATCCCAGCAGCCAGTTTAACTACGCCAACCCTACCGCAATGCATCGAGGAAACTTAAAGGGACCATGAAATGACCTTTTTACTTTTTCCAGATAACTTTTACATTAAACCGTCAATGTTCACTGAATGCCGAACAGGCATCCGTTTTCGTCTCGGTTTATTAACTTCTACACAAAAAATTATTGAAATATCGACTTTTTCATTCTCTCCAACTGGCCGCAAAACAAGCCGTGACGTAGGCCGTTTCCGGAACCGGAAGTTCTCTCGGCAGTAGGAGAATGGGAGTGTTAGCGGCAACGAGTTGGGGTGCGCCGGTAGGTTTTACTGCGCTGATGTCACCGACGTATTTCCTGAATCGGCGCCTCTCATTGCCGCAGCGCAGCTGAGCGAAATTCAATGAGATATGTTGCGCTACAGCGACAGCATGGAACTAGTCCCATACGCCGGTATGCCTGTTGGGAAGTGCAGCGAGTCTTCCGGTGAAGACTCCAGGAGTCAACCACCCTGTCATTGTTGGCAGAAGGGCCGGCCCGTGTCAGTCGTTTGCAAAGCGACGTAGATGGCGTTTTTCGCGGCCTCGGAGATGCAGGAGCGAGCCGACGTTAAAAAAGATACGTTTTAACTACGAGTGTCAGCAAGAGCCACGTAAATACCTGTTTACACTCGGAGCGGACGCGCGCGC